TATATATATATACCTAGAAAAAAAGCTCTTCGGAGCTATACGGAGTTGCAGTCTCTTCTTGGTGAGTTGAACCAGTTCTTTATGATCAATGAGGTCAAGGTAAGCCAGAGGGGGAAGAGGAATTTCCTCCCTTTGATGGTAGTAAACTGCTAACTAAACTCAGAACAGTTGCCTGAAAGTCTACCCAATGTTTTATATGCAATTTGGTCTAACTGTCAAGGGGCTAGTTCTGTCCTTCACAATATACTCCTGCTGTTTGCCTTCAGTCAGATGATATAACTGCAGGGTGAACATGTTTAACAAGCTGTTCTGATGGAAAGTTAGCAATCTTCTTGATGACTTTTGTTAGATCAGATTGTTGAATCAACTCAAAAGCAACAGATTGCTAGATCTGACTCAAATGACAGAGAATGAACATTCGCGCGATAAAGGGGTAGAGGAGTGGGTCCACCCTGGTTGGTGGCAGTGTAAATTTACCAGATTAAGTATAGTGTGAAACTGTAAACTTGCGTGCAGTACTGCTACAGCTGATACAGATTTGAGCTGCCTTAATTCCAGCTACGTTCATGGCCACACAATCCAAAAACTAGTCACTGTATTGATAGATTCAGTTTTCACCTGCATCAGCTCCCTAAACTAGCTCCTCTTTTGATTATATGAGCACCAACAATGCTGCAGACATAGGTGTGGGAATATACTGGTCTTGATTTATATGGTTAAAGTTGCCCCTGAACTGCATCTTCAAGAAGAACTTAACTGGGGAGCATAGGTGGGAAAGGATGAGATGAGACTGGGTTTTCTGACAGGTTCATACACAATATGAATAGATCTTCATTATGTCAAAAGAATAAGCAAAAAAAAAAAAGGGTGGTGGTAATATATCCACATCCCGATGTTAATGATAAAGCATTGCTGTAGAAGGACCGATGAGGAAAGTTATGTGTGGGAATTGACTGACTAGTTGATGTATAGACTGGTCAAAAGAATGGAAGGAAATGCAGCTACAGCTCCACGTCATTCTGACTCAGTCTGATTCCTACCTGCTGACCCTTTTTCACTGCATCAGCTCTGCCACTTTTCAAAACCTTCATTGACCTGCTTTTGAGGTAGGATCAGATGAGTGTTGGAACAAGGAAGGTGGCAAAGATGACAAGGAATGACTACATCAGCTGCTAAATAAAGAAGTTTAGTCTGCCATGGAACTGCATGCCAGGATGTAGGGCAGAATGACATCAGACAGTGACCCAGTCTCACAGCTCATCAATGCCCCCCATGCTGTCCCATTCCCCCTACCCCATTGCCCCAAAATTTCTTGCTTCTTCGGTCTCCTCTCTGGTCTTTCCACTTTTCAGCCACGTTATTCTGTCCTTTCCCTTGTATCTGCTCTGGTTCTCATCACAGTTTTTTGTGATTTGCCTCATTAACTTAGTAGAAGATTATACACCTTTTTTTTCCCTACCTTTTTTTTTCCTCCAGGCAGGTTAATGAGTTGAACTGACTTCATGGAAGGGTCTGGCAAACACTACAGCTGGCACAGAACAAGCAGCAGCCTGACTTAGAAAGGAGGGGCTTAAGATGATCTAAGTTCATCTTTAGTATAACAAATATTTTTGGTTTACAGCATGCAGTGAGCTGAATCAACAAACTGATTTAGATTACAAAAAATAGTTGTGGGGGTTTTTTTTGCTTCTTTTGGAGGGAGGCTGTGTTTTTAACCTGCATTATTTTTCCCTCATCTGGTTCACCAGCACAATCTTTTGTGTAGCCACATAATTGAGGAATGAGCTACAGGAGGTGGAGGCTACTTTCCCTGCCAGAGCTGTCAAAAGAAATGTTTATTAAAATACAGTCTGAATCAAGCCTGGCCAACAGTGCTTTCCTGGTTTTGCCTTTTTTTTTTTTTTTTTTAAGACAATTATCAAGTTTTTTTAAGGTGGCAGTATTTCTTTTAAAGCATATTGGTTTGATTTATACTGCAGGTCAGGAACAAGTATCTTTATTTAGGTTTATACAAATATCAGTGCTGTTCTGTTACTGCTGTCTGCTGGTGTTTATTCTGTAGCTGATGAAAGCAAGAATGCTAATTTAGGCATGGAGGCTTGTATAAGCCCCCCTGTAGAACTGATTCACTCAGAAAGCTTTTCATTTTGTCTTCTCCCACAGCTTTCCATCTACTTTCCTCTCTAACAATAATCAGTCTTCCTCAACTCCTGTGCAGAGTGTTTCTACTCCCTCAGTCCTGGCCTCAGCCTCTGCTTCATTGCCTTCAGTAAGCAATTCAATAGTTACTTCAGGCATCAGTGAACTGAAGTCATCAAGTGGCAACAGGAAAGCTAGAGTTCTCTATGATTACGATGCTGCAAACAGCAGTGAATTATCACTACTTGCAGATGAGGTAAGAGTTTTCTATGTACCTTGATCATTTAAAAGTAAAATCAGAATGCTTGTGACTAGCCAGTTAATATGTGCTACATCAAGAAGTCTGTGTAGTTGGTTTTTTTAATTAAATGTCAGTAGTACTCTTAGAGCATTGTCCTGTGCCTATATACCCTAATATTCTATAGGGAGACTTAACGTTTGTTACACCAGCTTAGCTTGCAAGAACATTTGCTAGACAATCAAGATGCAATTCAGCTGTCTTCTTTTTACCACACCTTTAGCAGTGTTATCAATACAGTTAGTCTTTCAAACATGAAATATTGCAGTCTAGGAAGAATATGAAAATACAGCCACTTCTTATTTTGATGGTGGTGGTAGTGCTGTGTTTATTCCTGTTCCAGTTCAATTGCACTCTTAAGTCAGAGCCTATGCAGAGCAGGTGGAGACAGATAATGAAGCAGGGTGCTGGAACTGAGTTCCACCTAGTATTGTGACTGTAGTTTAACCCTGAAGAAGAGCATCCACAAAAAAAGTTTTCAGACTTTTTGGTTTTTTTAAATGTGCTTTACTTAAATACTTGTATTTGACTTTTTTCTTATCTAGACAGTGACTTAGAAGCTGTGGCCTTTTGTTGCGATGTAGTACATCATAGAATCATAGAATCTTTTAGGTTGGAAAATATCTTTAAGATCATCCAGTCCAACCATTAACCTAACATTACCAAGTCCACCACTGAACCAATTAAGGCATCAACACCATCTGTCTTTCTATCATGCACTTGAAGATCCAACGAACTTTCTTTTAGATTGCCTGTTAAAGTTGATGGCGACCTACAAGATTTATAGATAAAGAAATAATAGAAAAGAAACAGTAATGAATAGAATTTCATCAGTAGAAAGGGACTTTAAAATATGCTACTATATCTGATTCTTTTCTATGGGCCAGTAAAATAATTTTTATGAGCACTAGATTATGTTCCATGGATGCTTATATTAAATGCTCTATTTAACTTGGTTAATCTCACTTCTAAGGCCTTGGAAATCACATGAAGGTAGACTGTAATTTTTTTCCAGGCAAGGCAAGGTTATAATAATGTGTTTCTGTTTTTTAGGTGATAACAGTGTACAGTATCCCTGGCATGGATTCAGACTGGCTGATGGGTGAAAGGGGAAATCAGAAAGGCAAAGTGCCTATTACTTATTTAGAACTGCTAAACTAGATGGGTGGCCTGAATAAAGACTGTCAATTATGGTGACACCATATTTATATACAATTAATGTTATGTAAGCAGGTTTAAATGTCTTCCATGTTACTGTCTTGAGGGACAAATACCAGCCATTACAAACTGGCTTTTCTGCCAGCATGGCTGCATGGTAAATACTCTATTCAAACTTAATGTGTTTAAAGCTTTTACTTCATGTGCCAAGAACATGTTTCCTACAGATTTGTTTCTACTGAAGTTTTCACTAATACAAGCTTCTACTTTTGAGTAATCTAGATTGAAAGCAGGAGGTACTGTTTTCTACTGAAATTTTTCATTAATGGCAAGCTTTTCTTCACATAAAATAAACTTATTGTGAACTGATGCAGGTGTAGTGCACGTTATTTGAATAACCAAAACCAAACATGAAACATAAACCCCAAAGAAATCCATATGGTTCTGTTTCCAACACTTGTGGAGTACAAATGCACTGAGGCATATATGGCTATCTGCTGAGTAACTTGGCCATTTGATCACCTTTGAAAAATGAAAACAGTTGTTTTCTCTCTGTTGAAAATTTAAGGCAAATTGCTAGTATGTTGAGATTTTAAACTGCACCTAAGTTTGACTAGGATTGACACGAGCTAGTGACATATGTTCTGACTTGTTTTTAATCTTGCCTTGTATTTTCTTCTCTTTAATTGCTTTCCAGAAAAGAGGCTAATTCACTTTGATTAGTAATTACTAAGATTCTTTCAACTGCAAATCAGCCTTTATGTTAAATTAAGCACTGCATTTTGCTAACCAAATACGCAGTCTCCCTACATTTAAGTAGTTCTATAGATGAGCATACATTTGTTCAGATTATGGGTTTTAATGAAAATCTGCATTCACAATACTTATGCAACAGTTTATTGTCATGTTCTAATTGGATTCAATTAGCATTACCCTTTTTTGTTTTGCAAGAGGACCTCCTTTAAATATGTGGGAAGGAAAAAAAATGGTTTGAATCTAAAAATGGCTTTAACAAAGGTAGTATTATTTGCAAAGAACATAACTTTTTCCTAAGCATTGCACCCTTTAATAGCCGATTTTTAAGGCTGTAAAAAGACTAAAAGGATAAGTTGAGGGGATTTTTTTTTTTCTTTGAAGTTCCAGTGTATTTAATTGGGTTGGACTGGTTGAAGGGAATTCCTTGTGTTGAGAAGGGAATTATTCCCCTTGCAGAAGATGCACCATTGACAGAAGTCCACTTTAGCTCTCGGGGATCACTGGTAGCAGGTGCTTAGCTAACTGCTTCTGATCAGCAAGTTTGTTTGCAATGACAGTTCTTTAAAGAATTTTTTAACATTATCATTGCAAACATGTGGTGATGAAACTTTCAGTGATACAGATTACTTCAGTGGGATGGATAAAACTGTATTCATTTAGGTGATGTGGTTGTTTAATTAAAAAGTGATGATCTTTATTTTGAATTGCACTTCCAGAAATAGTCTCTTTCATTTTTAGAGTGCAGAGGTTACATTAAAACGAATACATTGAATTGGTCCATCAGTTGCAACCTTCTTGGGGTAACTACCAAGAAAATCCTAGATTTATTCAGTCTGTTAAATGCAAAGATGAGAGGAAACAATAGTAGTAATTACTGATGAATTAGAAATAACCATGAATAATTCATGATGCATTAAATAAAATTAATAGGAAGATAAAGCGCTACAGTTTAGAAGGAAGACGACCGAACACTTCAACCACAGTGGTGGTCTTCTCCAGTCCTCTGTAATGTCAGCTGATATCAAATGTGTTTAAAGTCAAATCAATGTTATTAATTTGACTTAATTTACAGAACATTCAAGAATACATATGTAAAATAATTAAAAAATGTAATTGACTCTTTGCTATACCGGACTGTTCACTTCCTATTTAAATGCAATAAAATGTTACAGAGCAGCATTTAAAAAGATGGTGGGGATTTGGTGAAATATAAGTAGTACAGCTATGTGAAGGCAACATTTGGCAGCAGTCGAAATTACTTCTTGTTATATGTCAGCAGCTTAAGCTATGTGTGAGAGAAATTGCAATTGACCCCTCTGTCTAACAAACCTGCAAATCCATATTCTCAGTTCTCCCTGTTTCTGTTTAATTTCAAACCAAAAGTAATTTTCCTCTTAAGTAAAGAAAGTTGTTACTGTTTTCTTAAACTCATCTATCCTGAGGTTCTCTGTTGTACCATTGAGAGGGGAAGCTGGTAGAAAAGTGCTCGTTTAACACTAGTATTAAATTGAATAGAACTTTATTGTAGGTAGTCCCAAAACTCAGCCTCTTTAAATGTCATTTGGTGGGGAACTTTCAAACAAAAATTGACTGCACTTCTTTGGTTTTGCTTTCTGACTCAATAATTTTTGCAACAAACATGAAAGTAACTGAAGTTGGCTTTGGGTGTCTCATTTCTTTGGTTAATTCCCTGTTTTCTTAGAACAAGCTGTATTGATTGAAAGAAAGGAAGAAAGCTAAACCAGACCAGAAAAACCCTATATGAAAGTTCCAGACATTTGGGAAACCAGATTTCAAACATGGAAAAAGCTGTAGAATATGCATTACCTTATATTTAATAACTGGTTTGGCAAGATAAGTGCATTCTGAATTGATACCTAAGGATGTGTGCATGGGGGGATAAATACTTCCATTGCTGTTCAATGCATACCTTTTTTTCTATATTTACTGGCATTTTACTTCATTTTTCTAATTAATGCTAAGATTTGGGGCAATTTTAACCAGAATAGCCATCCCATGTACACTCTGTAACAAACCTGAGTGAGTTTTCATCAAAGACTATCAGCTTTTGTGGCAGGTGGGATAATGTACGGCATCATTAGTGTGAGTAAATGAATGCTTTTAAAACTAAATACTAGCTTTAAATAGTTTCTACCATAATTGCTGGTTTTAATGCTTTCTTAGTCAGGCTAAGCTTGAAAAGTAACTCCTACAGATTCTTAACAGAAAACCTGTTTTGGACTTTTTGCAAACCATGAGATTCTTATAATGGTTATATAGCTTCTGTTTCTTTCTAGAGTAGTGCTGTATCTTGGAGCAGAATTCTCTACCATCTGGAAATTTTGGCTACAGGTAAAACCATCAGTATATAGTGTCTTAATTCAGGCAAATGTGTGTGGGAAAGTGGAGGAAGGAAAGAACTATATCCATGAGGTACATCACTGTGCAAAGACACCGAACTTAGCACAGGCTCTGCCCAAAGGAATTAGTCTTCTGAAATGCAAGCATAGTTAGCCCACAAACAACAGTGCGTTATTACAGCTCCACTGCCTCTGGGATTGGAGCTAGCATCTCTGGATCTCGCGTATAGGATGTGAATTAGTACGCTGCCATATTAATTCTTACATGTCACTAGCTCAGGTACCGCTATAATGTGCAATTTATGGAACATTACGGAAGTTGCAAGAAAGGATAGAGTTAAGCCCGTATATTCTTGTTGTCGGGATATCCCATACCTTTAAGGAACACCATAAGAAGAGTGTCTGTCGTGTTACAATGAAGATACTATAGCAGTAGACTAAAGCAGTAATATGAAGATTTTAAAAATAGGAAGTTTAATAACTAGGTGCTCTGCTGAAACAGAACTTGAGAGAATTACTTACAAGCTGCTTAGGCAATGACCATGAAGTCCACATCCATCAGAAGCTTCCAGAAGATGGTTTTGATGTACTTGGGGAAGAGAAGCAAAATGGGAAATGCCCAAATGTCAAACCTAAAGATATTTTGACAAAGCCATGCAAGTAATTGGAATGTATGTATATGCTTAGCATATGGCTTACAGTAAGTAACCGCTGAAAAAGTATAGGTGTATTCTGGAACAAAACACTGGCATAATGACATGGTAAGAGTGATTCAGATTAAATACTCGCATATGGTAGTTGTAGCTTGAATTTTTTGCATGTAGGTAGCTGTACAATTGGACTCTAAGCTTGGCCACAGGATGCAGCTTCATAATTGCAATTTGCTGTGTTGTTCTCAGTAGAAGAAACAGGCATGACAGTTCCACTTCTAAATCTGGCCCAGGGAAGAGGTAGCATTAAAACCATTTTGGTTCTGCTATCAATAATACATTTAATCTGGGAATGAATTGTAAGGCATCAATAGATCAAATAGAAATCAATTAATTCCTGAGTGTTTGATTATTAGCACTGAATAATGGCCTCTCAGATCTCAACTCAGTTCTTTTTGGAAGATTGTGCAAGAGTGGCCTGAGGTGTATTCTAGGAGCCTAGGTGTGATAATATATGGAAAATTAGTTAATTTGCTTCAAAATAATTAGCAATACAAAAACTTGATGTACTGTATGCAACTTCAGTGCATCTGTGTAGAATGTGGCTTTTCATATGTTACGTCTGGCCTTTCCGGTCTCCTCTTAAAAGAGAATGCTTTCTACCAAGCAGCTTCATTAAAGTTCATTCTGTGAGTTTGACAAATGTTTTCTGTCCATCCTTAATAGTTGCACTGATGCATCCATAGAGCTGCTTTTAACGCCAGTTGTCATTTTCATATCCCATGACAATGCTTTTTACTATTGTCTCAATCAGTCATGCCACAAAAAGAGCATCGGAAGTACAATGTATGTGGCTGTTTTTGCCAGGAGATTATGGTCATGATTGCTCGGTTCCAGCAACAAGTTTCTGCCGTCAGCAGTCTGTCCATCTGGCTTTTAGACTTGGCAACAACACAGACATGATAATGATGTTCCCTTTCTAGCACAGGCATCTGAGAATATATGCTGACTCCAACAAGTACCGGTAATTACATGGTACTATTAAATACAAGGTACTACGCAAGGCAGCCTAGCAGAATCTGCTGGGGATATGGGTTGCTTCATAATGATTCTGCTCTTTCTTCAGAAGTCATTATACCTTTAAATATTCAGATGTTCATGTTAAAATTTAAGGTTTAGTATGACAAGAAGTCTCCTTTATATAGAACTTTTGCAGCATGCCAGTAATCACTGGGAGAAACATTTTAAGACCTAATATATTGAACAGAACCAAATTAGTGGTGTATTTTTTAGGTTAGTAGTGCCTAAGGTCTGGGTTTCTAGGAATCTGGCCACACTATCTCATCTGTCTTTGAATAATTCTCCTGTTTTTCTCTGTATCTGGTGGTACTGAATATAGAGATGCCTTGAATTTATGTTTTGCTTTGTTTGTCTTCCTTTCTTAGCCTACTTACAGGTCTGACTCTTGCTATGAAACTGGCCATCAAGGCTTTCAGAAAACTCCCCCCCCAAACAAACTCAAGTATTTAGAAGTAAATAAGCAGCTCAAAAAGGCAGGAATTGCTAATTCCTAAAGACTGCAGTGTTGGAAGAAAGCCTGAGT